CCGGGTGTCAGCTATTGCAGAAGGACGTGTTTCCTTTGTGGTGCATGACGGATAGTTGTGTACTATAGCACACGGCTTAACATGTGTGATACAGAACCTGTCAGATTGTCAGCGCCCCGGAATTCTTCCCACGTACGATGGCACCACTCCGAAGGCGCTGACCTGCTTCATGTTACATTCCAAGGCAACAAAAGAATATTCGTCTGGTAACCCATTGAGGCGAGGGCAGTTTGTGGCTACTGATGTCGTTACACACACTCCATACATTCCGTCGCAGAGAAGCAGTGGTTCCATTTCAGCGGGGTGAAGAATGGCTTTACGTACCAAGTGCCTTTCTCGGGAATTCGTTGAAACACCTCGTTAATTCACAGCGCACTGGAAAGGGATGGTCTCAGATGCAAAATCTTAAAACGAGGTGCATTCCCTTAGTCACTTAGACCATACAACCTCCGCTTCTAGGGCAGCGAGCATCTGGTCTAAGCAGGAAAATCCCATCACGGTTAGCGGTACTGTTTCAGTTCCAACAAAGACATACATAACGAAGAAGTGTGCGTAGTTGCTACCAGTAGTGTACAATTAACGACCGCTTCCCATATTTTCTTTCCTTGCTAACAAACCCAATGTTAAATGAATATCCCAGAGCCAAATAATTGTCGGTTTTCCATCCCTCCTCAGATTGTATTCAGATAGGCTTTGTGTGCGAAAATGGGTTATTTCAAGCAAATTAAGCCTGTTGCAGTGATGACATTGGTGTACACATCGTGTGAGTGTTAAATGTCTGCAGTTGATAAGGTGATCGCGGTGACACATCGTTGTGACCTCGTCACTGCTGCAACTGGGCTGTGCTTTGACCACTGTATGTGCGCTCTCGAAGGTCGTAAGTTTACTCACACCCGATATGCCAGTTTTGGATGGGAGTGATTCACCAACCTAGCAGTAGTAAGTCCAATAAAGCAATGCTGTACTGATGTATCTAACTGTTTTTTGGTATGCAGACAGTAATTTAGCGCATACTTTTGTCCCAAATTGTTGATATCCCACATTTTGCCTTAATGGAAGAGTTCTCGGGTTTTGCATATAAGGGCTTACTTTACTTCACGGAGCGTATTTTCTAAATGTTGACTACCAGAGAGCAGAATATATGCTCGTTAGGTTATGTACAAACATATGCATACTTATTTCTGGCGTAGGCAGCCGTTCACTCGTCAGAACCTTCCGTGCTTACCATTCGCATCTAGTGTGTGCTGAAATTGAGTCCATAGGGGTGTTTAGGGTTTATTTTGACTTGACTTAAATGCAGCGGAGACAGAATTGTTCCTACACATCAACAGTTTTGTCTTAAACACAAATGTGATTATGACACGGGCGCAATTCCATCGGTCGGCATTCTCCAATAAGTGAGACCTTTAGCAATCTGTAGGCTCTTAGGGACCTAGAAACTGGCCTGTTTTTATACGAATGTTCAACGTCTTTCAATAAACAGGCCACATTGAAAAAATCACCAAGTTTCTGGGTCATATGAAGTCTTTGGTATCAATGACACCTAGTTGCACATGGGAATGACGGACGCCGAAGTTTCGCTACCCGGCATGTCGCTGATCCGGAACGATAGACTCACAAAAGGAAGAGGTAATCCTTTATTACGGCAGCGACTTACAGTGAGAAGTCGTGGAGGATTCGGACTCGCAGTTCCCTGACTCTCTTTGGTGCTGCCTGCAGTTAAAAAGCAGCCAGTCTTGCATTATTGTCTTGGTGTACCACCCCTAACTCTGCACCTGAAACACAATGCCACCTTGCAGCTGCTTTAAGAAGCAGTTTACAGCGAAAGTACACTCACATACTTATCATTGGTGCTTTCAACGTACATTGTTTAGTTTATCCATGCCACGATCGGAGAACAATTCAAACCCGATCTACAAAAGCTCGGAACCAGTGTTCCTCTTTATAATCACAGCACTTCGCCCATTCGGTACAGAACAGGTAACAGGCCATCTGCGCTGCATCTTGTGCTTACCAACAAGGAGCATATGATTGATGTGTTGGTTGTAGACTGCCCGTTGGGTCGCAGTGATCTCCAAGTCATCAGTTTCAACTTGGTCTGCTATGTGGAATATCGGAATGATAACTATGAGACTATGCGAACCATCGAAAGCTACGATCGAGTAGCCCAGCTCGTCAGCGCTATAACGTGGTCGCTCCTTGCTGAAGAACCCCCGGAAGTCGCCTGGCTCGAGTTCGTCAACACATTCAGTCAGCTGATTGCACAGGCTTCAGAGATAAAAGCTTGCAATAAGTGCAAATCAGTTTCTTTCGTTAGGAACAGAACTCAAAAAATGCATAACAGTACGCAACGCTCCAGCACCAGAGACTTGGGACAACTAAGTAGCCCAATGTAACCACTGCACTCAACCGCTAAGAGATGACAAAGTCGCATTTCAGCAGAACATCCAAAACCTTCAGTGCTAACCACAAACTGCTGTACAAGCACGTCAATAGCCTACGAAAGGTGAGGCAAGGAGTTCCTTCACTCAGGACGGCTGATGGCCCAACAAGAACGGATGTCGAAGCAACAAATGTGCTACGGATGCAATATGACCCCACGTTTCAGAGGGTCTTGCTACCAAGCAATCTTCCAACCTTTGTCGTCACTGCACCAAGACTAACCCACATCGCTTTTATCGCGGAGGCTGTGTTGCAAAAGCTGACGTCTCTACGCAAACACAACTGGCCGGGTGTCGATACCATTCGTCCTGAGGCACTGGAAGCAGCAGCAAACTAATTGTCAGGAACTTTAGCTCAGTTTTTCTAGCACCGCTTGGACGAGAATCAAGTTCCCACCATGTGGAAGCTTCGAATAATCACCTCGATTCACAACGGTGGAAGCAGAACTTAGCCTTCCAACTACCGCCCACTATCCCTTCTTCCTATACTCTCCAAGGTCATCGAATCCAAGGTTGCCGATGCACTGGTGTGCTATCTGGAAAACTGTAACATCAGCACGCCTGAGCAGCACGGTTTCCGTCGACATCGGTCATGCACAACGAAGTTAGTAATCGCACGCAGTAGTTAGACCGAGTCAGTTGACGCTGGAGAACACGCTGATGTAATCGACCTGGACTTTTCCAAGGCTTTCCATCGTCTAGACCATCGGATACTACTCTCTGAGCTCCAGCATTATGGGATCGGTGACCCTCTTTTAAGCTGGATTGCCAATTTTCTACTTCAACGGTAATTAGTGGTCAGAGTTTGGAGCTCTTTATCGGACCCCACACAAGTCGAGTGTGGTGGGCCGCAAGGCTCTGTACTAGGTCCATGTTTGTACTTTGTGTTTACTAATGACCTTGCACATGGAATCGCTTTAAACTTCCTAATGTTTGCCGACGATATCAAGATCTGGCGCAGGATCCAAGTGAACGCCAGCCATCATCTGCTTCAGACAGATATAGATATGGTATATCAATGGTCAACCGAAAATTTACTGCATTTCAACGTGAGTAAATGCAAAGTACTTTCCATCCGACATCAGAGCACCTACTCATATCCGCTCGGAACGGATGTACTGAAGTAATCAACTGTCGAACGTGACTTGTGTGTCCTGGTTCAGGATGACTTGGGTTGCTCCAAGCAATCCGAAAAGGCCTCGAAAACTGGAAACTAACGTGTCGGGCTGTTGTAACGGGTGTTTGGACAAATAAACAGATCCATATTTCCACAAATGCTCAGTGCGTATGTTCTCCCCCATGTCGAATACGCAATTCAAGCCTTGCATCCATGGCTGAAACACGATCTTAATATACTAGAGCAGCCACAACGTCGGGCATTCAAAAACGTCATTGGAATGCGCAAGCATTCAAACAAAGAGAGGCTGCAACGATTGGGGGTATTCAGCGGAAGCTGTCGCAGAGTACGAAGCGACCTGATTATAGCATACTTGATTCTGTGACGCCCACATCATGTGTGGCGCCCTGTACCGCGACTCATCACCAATACAACCCTGAGGGGCCACTCATTGAAACTCGCAGAACAGTATAGCCGTCTGGAGTGTCGCAGCAATTTTTTTCCATTCGTGTCTGTCACTCGTGGAATGCTCTCCCAGAATCGGTCGTCTCTGCACCGACACTAACAGTATTTAAAAGACGGTTGGATGATGCACTCATCCACTTACACTTTGCCACTTAGCGCTGCTTCGCCATCCTACATCTGGAGTTTAGCATAGATTTATTTGATATCAACTGTGGGTGCTATGAAGCTAAGCGGATTACAGAACTACAGCGAAGTAAACGATAAGTCCTTATTTTCATATTTAAGGTAGCAAGTGTTTTACTATTATCAGTAGCATTTTTCTTATTATTATTTTGATATCCCCACCAACTATCTAACGGGTATTGTAAAGTAAGGCTTTTTAAGCCGTATAAATTGGTTGTTCATTGTAACCTTACCTTTGTTAACAACATATGCCGTATTATGGGCTTGTGTAAGGGGAGCTGTATTGTTTCGGTTCGATAGTTTAATTCGACTTTTCGAGTGGCATGTTGGTGGGAGACCACTATCTTATGTGCTTAAGGATTTTTAACCCAAGTAGACTCAGATTGGTGCGGTCATGTCGCGGTTTGCGGCAAGGTCCTTATTCAGAGTTTAGCTCTGCGTGTTTTGTCAATTATTCTAGAGCTGTCATGCGTATCATTTTGACACAGAGTATGAAGTGTGTGGGTGGGTAACTCAATTTGCCCAAGATATTTTATAGGCTCAAGCTTCTAGTAACTGCTCTCAGTCGCACCGGATGATGAGGATGATGTGGATGCTACCATGTTCAATGCCTACTTAACGCCGCAAACATTTTGCTAATAAGCTGCTCGTAATATGCCAGCCACCGAGTTAATGTTAGGGTCAGTACCTTAATGTGCGCTACATTATGAATGGGTAAAGGTCGTGTAACATCATTTGGTGTGATGTTTAAAGATTTTTAATCTGACATGTTCTGCAACTTCCGCCCGTTTCAGCTCGACGATCAGAGAAACCGCCGTTCTCCTACATCGCCTTGATAGCCATGGCAATTCAAGCGTCTCCAACCAAACGTTGCACTCTCAGTGAGATATACCAGTATCTGCACACTCAGTTCGCATTTTTTCGTGGTCAGTACACCGGTTGGAAGAATTCGGTACGGCACAACCTGTCCCTGAACGAGGTGTTCATTAAGCTTCCCAAAGGTGAGCTCCAACTAAAGTACTGCTATGTTAACCCGCTGTGTGTTACGGGGAATAAATAGATTCGGGCGCAGTTCATTGTCCTATACATCATTACCGGTTTTTCAACCCAAAAACACGTGTGCGCTCGCAACAAGCACAGTCGGTATATTTATCTAGCACCATTGGGTTTAGCAGCGCTTCATCGTATAATGGTGAGAGCTGGCCATGTCCTGTGGGCATAATGTAAACGGTTGAGCATCCCATAAATCATAAATTGAACTACAGGAACTCCGGACATAGGATCTTGGCAATTCCAGATGAATTCCTCCGCTGGGATTGATATGTTCTTCGAGGCAAAGCGAGTCGCTAGTTACAGTGGCAGCATGTGATACTTCGTTGTCCATACAAGTTGCAATTGGCCCTTGTTTCCTTCCGCAGTGTTTCGTGAGTCGAACTCCATTGACTAAAACCAATGCGGCCAATGGTATTCCTTGTTGTCGCATGCGTGTTTACGCTGTGTTGATTCCGGTCGTTGTCCAACCGCTATCTGCTTACTCCATCGTGATCAACACCGAGAGTGTTTAACTGGCTTCTCTGCCACTTAGCTTTACTCTATCTAGTCTTCCTGCCCTCTTGACTAATGACATTCACACCGAACACCGGAGTCTGCTTTCAGCTATTTCGCTTGGTAGCAAACTGTCTTTTGGGTCGACGGTTCGTTGTTAGTTAGCAGTTAGCTCACCCCAACTGCATGTTGATTACAGTGTCTCGATCGGTAGCTTAATAACTGAAAGTAAAACCTTTAAGCGGGTAGCGAACTTAACCATGAACTTTCAGACGGATGTAGCAATATATTGCCTTTGATACGTTATACAATCATGCCGCACTCTACAATGATATTCCATCCTCAGTAACATATCCGGCGATCCTGATGTTCAGACGGGGATCTTGACCTGTAGCTTCTCTGTGTAGAACTTCAGGCCGATAGGTTGTCTGATTGCATTTGTTAGTATAAAGGAACAGTAGACACAAGGGCATGGACCGATGTCAGTTACATCGATTTCAAGGCCTTTCCCATCTGGACCCCTGCATTCTGATTCACAGACTCAAAATTTACGGAACTAACAACCGTATCCTTAGTTGGATAGGGAATTTCTTGAGCAGCAGGAAATGCGGGTTGAAGTTGAAGACACTTTGTTGCACCCCATTCATATCGAGAGCGGAGTTCTACTAGGGTCAGTGCTTGAAACGTGTTTGTTTTTTTATGTTAATCGATGTGATCGCCCCAAATTTCTTAAATTTTACTAAGGATATTAAGATGTGTCTAGTGATTATCGGCCAAGGAAGTTACGAGGTGACCCAAGTTGAATTTGATACTCTTTATGGTTATCCGAGATCCCGTTCCAGTTTAACTTATCTAAGTATAAGTATGTCTACAGTCGTTATCAACGGAACGCTCTATGAAGCTGGACACAACGTCTTGAGTGCGGTCTCCCAGGAGCGCTAGTTTGCGGCACTAGTTCATGACATCGTCGACTGCTCAAAACAATTTGGGATGCCAAATATCCCGAATCAACACAGCAACCTTCTGCGGAGGACACTCAAACGTTTTGATCCATTCATCTACGCGCAGACGCATAACACCCACATTTGGTGTGTAGACTTGGTGACGGTGGCAGAAGTAAAATCTCGCCGCGCTCGAAACTCCACAGAGAACAGCCACCAAGCACATCAAGGGATTACTTAATCTTCCATATCAACATAGGCTGAGGACCCTGAGATTGTACAGCGGTTAGTGTCGGCTCCTATGAGAGACTCGCTTTTGACCTACAGAATCCTGAGGAACCCCAGTGACATTTGCTGCCGCTTTCGGGAACTTAGTCACAACGTGAACCTGAGACGTGACCAGATTCATAGATCATGCAATACGGTCGTCTAAAATATGATCGGAACTTCGAGTATGTAAGCCAAGAAACCCCCTATCCAACCACATGGTTTCCGCCGTCACATTATCCTTGTTTAAATATTCCTTGACCTTATACTAACCGACGTACTTTATGAACTACAGCCTGTGTACATTGGGAGAGGACCTAATGTGGCAAACGGTGCAATTATCAGCATTCCTCCATAAAATCGAGGTGGACTCTCCCACCTAGTTAATGAACCGTGAACAATGACTCATAACGGATAAAAGGCCAGTACTTGACAAGTTCCCTAAAACGAAAGGAGGGAGGATTACAAAACCGAAGGTAAAAATGATTGGAAAAGAAGGGAACGTGCATATTTTAAGTGACTTACCAAGGGATTCACCTTGACACAGAGGTAGGTATCCCCGCCCCTACGTTACGGGGAAGGCTGATGTGAACACTGTTTGGTTGGCGTTGTCTTCTGAATACAACGGACTATACCACCTAATGCAAATCAGATAGCGTGTCACCAAGGCGCTTTTGCAAAGCCATTTGGCCAATAATGTCGTGTGTTATAAAGACGTTCCATGTCTGGGACATTCTAAGGGATAAAACTTTCGTCGGCAATCGAATCGACTGTAATTTGTGGCAAGTTGCAACTGGTGGCTTCCTAGTTTACGATTCTGGTTGAGTTGCAGCAGATCACGGTAGACATGGTTGGGGTTCGCCAGTATTAGGTACACCGTAATGAGATCTTCTTTCAAACTCCGATATCAAGTGCTATACATTCCAAGGACTTGCAGTCTGAATTAGCAACATGGGTGAAACGATCCCCCAGCGATTTTCCTTGGCCGACGTTGTTGAGCTTCAAACGCATCAACATCATGTTTGAAACAGAGAAAGCAAGCTTAGATAACACATTCCACATGAAACCTTACGTAGGTGCTCCTGAGTTACGGGAAGACAGAATGCTTGAATTTGCTGAACGCCCTGCGTAGGAAGTCAGGGTGCTGACTGGCTCTTCTCCATGATTTTTCGGCTTGTTTCGAACAGCCAAGGTCATCCTGCGCAATTATTCCGAAGTCCCTTTCCTGGGAAACTCGTTGCAACTGCTGTTCCCCCCAAGCGATATTCACTACACTAGTGGCGCATGCTCAAAATTTTGAATTTCCCTACGTTAACCTTGAGCAAGTTGTCAGGTGACGAAGCCTAGGGAGTGTCGAGATTGCTCTACAGTACCGCGCGATCATCACTGTTTTGGTATGATTCATGATCTTAAAATCACCTGCAAATATTAGGACGTTCAATTCGAATGAACTGAGAAAATCGTTGATAAAGACTAGAAAAACGTGGTCACAGCAACGATCATTAGGGTACACCAAAAAGGGAATCATTTGGGTTGAAAATGGTGCTACAGACAGTCATATTCAGCTGAGGTTACTGGAGGAAGCTGCTTATTCAACCGAGCCCGGGGTCACCGTTTCCATAGCGTCGAAGCCTGTGAAGAATAATGCGGTACTCCAGGAGGTAGAAGGCTTTCGAGAAGTCCAAGTATTTGAGGTTGACTCCTACTCTGGCGTCTACTGATTCCACCTAATTGTTCGGGGTAATAGCGGTGTTTTAGTAAGGATCGATTTCGGCGGAATCCTTGCTGCCGAGACACCATGGTATGGCTACCCTCAAGACATCCCGTGAACGTTTCTGTGGTACTACCTAACCTAAGTTTAGATAGCACCTGGAAGAGAGCTATTGGATTGTATCTTGAAGGCCTCGAAGGATTGACGCTCTTGTAGATAAAAATGACCAGGTAATATTTCCACATTGTGTGAATCTGTATTTAATAAAGACGGTGTTGAAATATCCGTGCCAACAGTTCGACGATGTTCATGGCGCACATTTGTTAATACTTTCTGGCGTACGTCGTCTACATCGGGAGATTTGTGCACGCGCATGGGCGGTAGTCTTTCTATCATATTCGTTACATTGTAGGATACGGAGATTCATCTTTTGAGCGGCATGAGCTGTGTCAGAGGCAGGTGACAAAGCAACTCACTCATGAAAGTAAGGAGGAAGGGTTGCCGAGGAGCGTTGGCAGCCTCTTGTGTAGTCAGCACCAGACCATGTGGTGCATCTAGGAACGGGATTACGCGTTGCAGTCGAGATCAGTGACATAATTGCAGGCATTTTAGGATTAGTATGAAATGCATCACTGCGTCATGTTGACGCTTGTGTTTGTCTTCGCGGACCAGTTTGATGCGGTTGTTTAGCTGAGTTATATAGGCACCCTAGGCGGACCCTTCCGGACGGGCTTAATAAGCTCGCCAGGCGGAATCCTTTAAAGCCATACGTTTTCGATTTCTGCTCCTCAGTAAGGAGTTCATTTGCTTCGGGCGAAAGACCCGTTTCCAATGCACTGGTCACTAGCCCAGTGAACCGAGTAACAAGCTCTCTCCATGCGAGGTCTGCAGACTATCCGTCTAGGAAAGACCATTCGGTTACTTGAGCGTCGTCGGACAAGATGTAATGGGTGACGACACGGGCTTCATCGGTACTTCCACTGATGTGTTCCGCGTAGCAGATGTAATGAAAGACCAGCGTCGCCTGATCGCTAGAGCCAAGCAATGCACTTAAGGTTACGGCACCGATCATTATATTTTCATTCATGAACACTAGGCTTAAAACAGCTAATTCGTCACCCCTCTCTGAATTGCGTGAAGGAGGTGAAATCTGTGATTACTTCTAGAAAGTCCACCTTGACTTGCTCGCTGAGAGAAGCTGGGACTTGTGTAGCGCATACTTTGGAGTTCCGCCATAGGAAACATGTGACTGTGTGATCGTGTCCCGCATGCCTCATAGCAGAGGCTAGGAGATGACCCATCTTCATGATGGACATCGAAGGGCGGTAAACTATTGCTATTGGGCTAGTTTCACTTATTAGGTTAGCATAAGCTGTGCTTTGTTTCTACTAAGTTATCAAAGCGAATTACCAGGTTTGTGTCCGCATCATTCTGTGCTTGCTTCCGGAGGATCAAATAGTCCCCAGCCTGAAAGCGGACGGCAGTTTGCATAACCTTGCAGTTCATCGTCAAACATTGCGACCAAGGGCAAAGATCT